ATGAATAAATGTAGTTGGCAATACTAGCAACGTATAGTGCTCGATACACGTGATAATGCAGAGCGTAAATATTGAGAGAGCGTAAATATTGTAATAGATATAAATATACGGTAACATGGATATGAAGACAAGTCTAAAGTCAATGGTTTTCCTTTTAGATAAGAGTAGTTCAAACGCAACGTTGTAATCAAATGTATTAATAAATGCCACATTATTCATGTATCTTTATATGTCTCATACAATTGTGTGTGATATGTGATATTAATTCCCATACTTTCAACGTTAATGGTGTGTTCCAATCAGACAAGATTTTTAGATCTAAAAATAATTAACCAATGTCATGATCCCAAGTCAGAAGGTCTGTTTATACGCTTATAGTCTGGCTTACAGTGTCATAATTAATAAAATACTGAATAATATTCCAACGTTTTAAGAGAATGCGATTTAGCGCTTAGTCAATGACCGTGGAAAATCAATAAACGTTTTATGCGGTTCATTTACAAATTTCGTAAAAGGATACGAATGTGGACATCTAAACTACCAACCAGTTGATGCCTGATTTCATTGAAATCGTTACACTCTCGCTACAGTGTTCTCAGTGTTTTCGTTCCCCAGACGAAATCAGGAAGGCTCTCCGATTCAACAGACACTGATCAGCATCACCGAAAGCTTTCAGCAATGGCGTGTAGCGATTGTATAGAAACCAAACTTTACACTCTTGGACAGAAATACCTTCGCAGAATCAACAAGTAATATGTTTTTTTTTTCAAATTGAACAAACTATTTACATGTTATTAAAACATCCAAAGCAAAAATCCAGTCAAAATGTGTTATTTCAAGATTCAAGAATTTTATTGTTTTGGGTATAGGTAGATAAAATAACATTAAACGACAAATATACAATACATACTCTTGTCCAAAGGCCTGAAGTTGAACATGCGGATGCTATTAAAAAGGAAATTACTTTCTAGTTCTACAGAGGGCGTAAATTCATATACAGATGACCATGGCATTGGATCTGACATAATAAAACGTTGTGTAATTTTCAAGATTGTATTTATTTTTCAGTATAATTTAGGCTACATAAAAAACATATCAATGCTAAGATAAAATAGGCCTACTTAATAACACTGATAAAATAAAATTACAATCGTATTATCACAGCCTTCATTGATTCATATATTCCTATAAATTGGAACAGAAATTTTTAAATGGTGGAGTTTATAGCACATACAATATTTTAGCCGCTATACAATTATATAATTTTATATTCACAAAGAATAAATAACATTACAAGTCTCCTTACTTTTCTACATGTTTATGTGTATTTTATATATCTTATTTTCACAGACCTCCAAAACAAGAAATAAAAAACAGTACAATATATTTATACACAATCATTATAACCAATATTAAAAATAGTACAGTAATAATATCTCTATTTCTGCTATTTTATTTTTTATCATTGTGAAATAGCCTACCTAGTAAAGATGGCTACAGTCCAAAAAACAAAATGGCAATCAAATTAGATAAGCTACTCACCATAACTAAAAATACGTTTGAAAAACCGCAAATAATTCTGAGAAAATTACATAAAACACTTAAATTGCTACTCAGCAAGTACAAATAGGCTTGAATTCAAGGTCAATCATTCCCGTCAGGTTATAAACTATAGAAAAACAAATTATGTTTAAAGAAAAGGGAATATTAAATATAAGAAAAAGTCAAAAATAAATATATAAGTATATATAATATAAAACATGGCATTTCATTTTGTTATTATTATTCAGACTCAGTTTGTCTATAAAGCATACGTTGACCAAGTCTAAACTCCTGGATATTTGTACTTAAACTGGAGTAGAGTGCCTATGTAACCTCACCATCCATGTTAAGACCGTTTTCTCTTTGTAGCGTATGAACACTAAAACATATAAATAATTTATATGTAATATAATTGATGCTGAGCCTAATGTATGCGCGACGCATTCCTGGTCGTGGCGATAAAATAATTTTGTATTACAGTATTGCATTTTAATTTAATAGGGTACTAGGGAAGACCCACGGACATATCCATGTAGGCCTACTATATATTTATGTACAGTTTGGCTCTTTAGAGCTGACATCTCATGTAGGGGTGATAAGAATCTAATCAGTCGAAAATACTCAAATTGAAAATTGATAAAAATGATGATGAAACCAGTGCAACACACTTTATTATTTCTTATTTAATTTTGGATACCGGGCTATCAGCGCTGTGCACTTCGCTTGTGTCCTTAAGAAGGCATTTTTCTGCTTTGTCTCTCCACACAAAGTGTAAGTGGGTAGCTGGTGTTGCCTGCTTGCTACTACGCCAATATGGCAGCGACACATGTAAACCCAATGACCAGGAATAAAAAGGCGCTTTGTAACAAAAGGAAATGCGCTATAAATACTAAATAACAAATAAGTAGTACCTTCAATGCGGTATATGATTAACAACGCAAAAAAAGTATTTGTTTTGTTCATCATGGTTCGTAATAAGAAAGATTTACTGTAAATAAAGTGTTTTATATAAAGAGTAAAACAAACGCAATTACCCCAACAAAGCTCCACTGACAGAGAACAGGCCTATTAGGCATATTTGATTCAATTCTATACAGCACACTGTGATAATTTTTGTTTAATTATTAAATTTAATTATGAGAACCAGTATTTTATTGACATAAATCTAACCCTCTAATTGGAGACCGAACTATGAGACCAACCCGTAATATTTTCATGTCTTAAAAGTGTTCTCGAATTGTACCGTAGCGGTGCGTATAAGCGCCCGGGCGCTTAGAATATTTTTTGCACATTTAGGGGCGCTTATTCAAACGGGGCGCTTATGAAAACAGAGTGGAAATTGACGGGGCGCTTATGGAAATAGATGAAAATTGATGTGGTTCTTATTGGAACTTGGAAAATTCAAAGGGCGCTTTTGAATGAAAAAAATATTAGCTTGTAGGTCTATCTTGTTCAGTGGCGGCGCTACGGATGCACGGGGGCGTTATGCCTTGAAACCATTATTTATATTTAATGGATTTACATATAATTTGTTTTCTTCAAACAATTATATATAAATAATTGGTAGAACGATTTTCCTTATATATAATCAATATGCATTTGTAATTATTTATAAATAATACGATGTTGAAACAATTATTTATAAATAATGACTTAAATAACGAATAATAATAATGAATAAAATCATGCCTCTTGCTACTTTATATTATTTATAAATAATGAAAATATCTCCACCAATTATTTATATATAATCGTTAGAAGCAAAAATAATTAGGCCTAGGCCTATATGCAGCCTATATAATGACGAAATGTTGAACTATATATTAAATAATGTATATGTATATATATATATATATATTTAAATAATGAAAGTACATCTGGCGCCTCATATTTATATTAATATTGTTAGATCATTTTTTTTTTTTACAAATTTTACTCTCCCATCTTTTATTAGATTGGAAGAAACATGCTATGATGGCAGATTTTCTATAATTCTTGTTATGAGAATGCCTCCTCAGTATGGAACCCTTAGGCCTACATGGCATGTGACATCAATAGATTTGAGCGGATTCAAAAGAATTTTTTTAAGATTCTGTATTTGACAATCTTTCTTACTAAAGGAGGGCGATGCCTCATTACGTGTCATATAAAGATCAGTGACCATGAACTGGTTTCTCGTGCACAGAGACGGAAATGTACAGTAGTGATAATTTTTAATGTCCGGCAAGATTATCCAACTTTGTGCAACTGAAACCATGTACAGTAATATGAATTCAAATATTCTTTTTGTAGACGAATTATTGAAAACTTAATTCCATTCCCGGTTGATTAGGAACCTCACAAGCTTTAAATAACACCGACCGGGTGGGGTCACTCTTAAATATTTCTATGCGGGGAGGAGCCGCGTTTACTGAGGATTTAGTTGTGTGGGAAATATGGAGTAGGGGAGTTGCAGCATTTTTGGGGTGAAAGGGACTTTGTAGCACATTGGGAAATAACCGGGGTGAAACTGGTAGTTAAAGTTCATGACCTATCTTGTGTCAAAGTGCCACGATTTTCCGCATTAGCGAATTTCAAGCTATAAGGTGCTTATAAGCCGCGCGGTAAGCTCCTTGATTGGTAGAGCTAAGAGATCGCGACCGGACGGAACACTTTTGCCATCGGGAACCAGTAAATATTGTGCCCTCTCTGGCACTATAATTGCCGAGTGGCCTTTTTCCTGTCGTAGAATAATCAGAACACGTGTGTTAGAACACCTGGAGCCTGGAATGTGATGTACATTATTTCATAACAGCGTTATTTACGGAGCGTCCGTAGTTGCTAAGGAAATTTTGCCTAATTATGGCTGTTTACGGAAATAAACAAAGACACTACTACGGAAATTTATCCCTAGCCTAGACCCAGAAATAGGCCTTGTTGAAAGTACAGCAGGACAGTGAATCATTGTATGATTTCATCAGGACTAACTAGGCCTATGGCTACATCGTTCCTACGGACCCTACTAGGCCTAGACTAGGCTAGGCCGCTTGAGAACTGTCAGATTACTGATAAACTATTAATTGTTAAAAACTCAACCCAAGAAAGTACCCAGAATATTTTCATTTACTACGGAATCTGAGGACATGGCGGAAATGCATTTTACAAACTTGAGAACTCTCTTAATCGTAGTTTTGATTATTAAGTGTGCAGAATATTTACTACTCTGGACTAGGCCTTCCTTCGCCTATATGCTATGTCATTTCATCTCTGGTGAGTACTCATTCTATAGCTGGTATTTTTAAGAAAATGGCAGTAAAATCTTACGGGATCGGTAGGCTCCCATTTTTCATGCTCCTCCCTGGCCTGCCCTACTAGTCTAGGCCAAGCTATCTATGGTACTAAGCTAGGGCAACTTGCCTATTCCCCCGGGGAGCTCACTTTTGTATACCACAACGGGAGGGAGCAGTAGTGGTGGTGCCAGAGGGGGGAGGCTGGGGGAGGGGGATATAGCCCAACCGTCGGGGAAGCATAGCCCCCCTCCCCCCGTCGGGGAAGACCAGTATATTTTGTTGGGGAATAAACAAGTAAAAAAAAATATTTATGTAATGTTCGTTTAGACACCATATTGTTTCATTAAACTATTTGTGTTAATAATAATAATGATAATAAATAATAATAATAATAATAGTTCAATGAGACTAAATAAAAATAAATCTGTTATGATAAATGCTCGTTTGGATAGCCTCATGATGCTTGGAATACATCGTGATAGGTGAAGCAACCTCGACCTTGACAGCGTGGTTAACAGATTTCATGTAAAATTTCCAAAATGTAGAATTTCACTTTCAAGAATGAGGATTTGAAAAGCTCATTAGAAAACATATCCTACATGAAGTCATTGATAGTAACACGATGCCTATCATTCAAATAAATAAAAATTCGCCATAATTCGTCAAATATCCATGACACGCGGGGGGTGGGGGAGGCCCTAGGCCCCCACTGGGGAACCTAAGCGGCCCCCTGGCCCCCAGCTAAGTGAGACTCGATTCACTTCACTAGCCCCCTCCCCGTCGGGGCAGGTTCTTGCGCCATCTTTGGGTGCAGCATCCACTCCAAGACATGAGACATTTGCGCTACATATTTTACTGAAAATTGTAAGGACTTGAACTACCATTTACCAACTAACTACTATTGAACTGCTTACGGCCATGTTCTCAAAAATACCCCCGTAAATGCGGCACCTACCCGTACAGTATATTTAAAAGTGAGGCCCCAGGGCCCTTAGGCTCAAAATGCTGCCATCCAGTGCACCCGTGATCAATGTGAATAAAATTTGTCAATAAACGTGGTACAAAGAAATGTGTGAATGAATGAACTGTTCCAATCTTGAATGAATAAAATATTATAAAATGAAAGTACACATAGGCAGGCCCCCCCCCCCCCCAATAAGCCATTCTTTAAAGTATATTAATTGGGCGTATGATACCTCAACTCAAAAGCTGAAATTTTTACGGAAAATCGCTAGGAAAATAGGTGTGCAAAAGCTTAGCATTTGTATATTCAGATGTAATGTTGTAATTCGATTTACATACTTATTTTATACAGAAGTCTCAAAGCACTTGAGGTGTGGACTGCTCATACAGTAACTTGCTTCTCCCCCAAGGGTCTCTTCATGTCTGAGGTACGTCTGGTCAAAGAAAGGCCAATTTTTGGCAAAATCTGCACGGAAATCGGCCCTTATTTTCTAAAATGTGCAGTCGGATTTCTAGGCCTAATTTTTCAACGGAGGATATATTCCTGGGCGCAGCCTTACTTTACAGTCAGTAATACGGTTGTCAACCCATGGGTCGCGACCCAACTTTGAGTTGTGAGAGAATTTTAGAGGGTCGTAAGACAGTACCAGTACCACAAATTTTTAAGTGTTAAAATAAACACATTAAAAATCAGAAAAAGCCCGTGAAAACATCCAAACAAAACATTTTTTTTTAAAATAAAATAATTTTATAAAATTTTGGCTATCGTCTTCCAATTTGTGTCAATTTGCTGACTGTCATCCGATAGAATTGATGAGCTGGATAAAACATCACTATGCGCCGGCAGTCCTCTAACTGTAGTTCAGCACGTCATTTGTTGAATAGTGTTTGTGTTTCAGAATACGAAGGAATATTTGTTTTCGTCTTATAATCAAGTTTTAGAAATTTTATGTTTGTTGTGTCACAACCTCGGCTTCTTATTTGCCTACTCCTAAAGGAAACTTCGTTTATACAGTAGAACCTCGTTTTTACGTACCCCAGTTATACGAACCCTCTGTTTTACGTACGCCTCGTATCGACGATAACGTCATCAAAAACCCCGAAAATATTCAAAACAAACGGCCCTTTTCAGAGCAACCATAAGTAAAAAGACTATTACAATAAACTATAACAATAAACAAACCATAATAATGCAACGTATTTTCATTAAACTGTGTATAAGAGACAGGTTATAATCTAAAACCACGTGAACTGAGTGAGATGAACAACTACCGATGGTGCTCAAAACAATTGCTTTCCTCCTTAGCTTCGTGTGGCAAACCATGGAAACACTTGTCTGGTCGAATTTTCTACACGAAAGAATGTATAGGCATAGTTTCGTACACGAACGCTAATTGGTTGGCTCGCCCAGTGCAGCGCACATG